CAAGACCTCCAGTGGATGTGGATAGTACTGAACCCTGTGTGTGCTTTCTTCTCAATGCATACAATATGGGTGGCAACTCTCAACAAAGGGGTGATTTATTGCTGGGCAGGGCAGAGTGGGATGGAGCCAGATTCCATCTCTGTGCAGTTTAATGCTTGTGTATTGTTTATGTCTGCTATTTTCCACTTAATGTTTTTAAACTGTGGTTTGCAGTGGGAAGGTGAAACCACAGGAAAGCAAGCAGTCGACGCGGGGGGAGGGGATGTTGTGTGACAAACCTCACTGCTGGGTGCTTTCTTGTCAGTCCTGAGTATAAGTCCTGTGAACACGGACACCTTGACCGTTGCATCCTCAGCTGGGATTTAGTATCTGGGAGGGAGGGACAGGCACATGGCTGGCACACGGTAAGTGTGCAAAGAAGTCACTTATTTATTTTTGTGCCAGTATGGGGCATGAACTCAGGACCTCACACTCAAAGCTGATGGTCTATCACTTATCACACCTCTACTCCTGTGTTGCTTTTTTACTAGTTAATTGGTGATTAAGAGTCCTTGGGAGTTTTCTGCCTGGGCTGGCTTTGAACTTCAGTCTTAGATCTCAGCCTTCTGAGTAGCTAGGATTATAGGTGTGAGCCACTGGTGCTGGGCTCACAAATCACTTTGGTAGAGCATTGTGGCAAAAGACACTGGCTACGCTGGCACATCTGAGTGCCAGTGTTACACTAGTTTTGTGATCAAAGGCCAGTCAGTCTTTCTGTGCCTCAGTTTTCTCATCTGTTGTCAGAAGTCTATATGAGGTGTTGGATATTGGGCTTTTCTTGTCTTTTCTGTTTTTCTGTGTTTGAGCCAGTAGTGGAGTTTGAACTCAAGGCCTCACACTGTTGCTTAGCTTTTTTGCTCAACACTGACACTCTACATCTTGAACCACTTCTAGCTCTTTTGAAGTTGATGCTGGTGTCTCAGGCTTGTAATCCATGACTCAGGAGGCTGAGGTCTGAGAATTGTGGTTTGAAGCCAGCTCAGACAGGAAAGTCCATGAGACTCTTATCGCAAAAAAATCCAGAAGTAGAGCTGTGGCTTAAATGATAGAGCACTAGCCTTGAACAAAAAAGCTCAGAGACGGTGCTGTACAGGATCAGAGTTCAAGCTCCAGGACCAGCAAACAACAACAACAACAACAACAGAAGTCTCTCAGGTTTGTCTGGCCAGGCTGGCTTTAAACGAAGATCCTCAGATCTCAGCCTTCTGAGTAGCTGGGATTATAGGTGTGATCCACCTTTGTTGGCTCAGAAGTCTCTCTGGTACAGCATTGCAGTAAAAGATGTTAGCTATGAAGGAAGATCTGAGTGCCAATGCCACACTGGCCAGTGAGTCTTTCCATATGTCAGTTTCTTCATTGTTATCAGAACTTTCTATGAGGTATTAGATATTGGGCTTTTATTTTAATTTTTTTTCTGCATAAGTGCCTCCCCAGGGCCTCATTGTTGGCTTAGCTTTTTTGCTCAAGGCTGATACTCTACCTCTTGAGCCACTTGTGCACCTCTGGGCCTACGCACTGTCCCTGGACTCCTTTTCCTCAAGGCTAGCTAGCTCTACCACTTGAGCCACATCACCATTTCTGGTCTTTTCTGTGATTAGTTGGAGATAAGAGTCTCATGGACTTTCTTGCCCAGGCTAGCTTCTAACTGCGATCCTCAGATCTCAGCCTCCTGAGTAGCTAGGATTGCAGGCATGAGCCATCAGCGATGGTGGGCTTTTAGAATGGCTTCTGGCATGTTGTGAAGTCATTGTAATTTCTTCTATGGCCTTCACCATCATCACCACCATCATCATCATCACCATCAACATCACTGCTATCACTATCACCATTGCTACCTCCTCTGCCTTCCACGGTGTCCTGAGCAAACTGCCATATCCAAGGCCAGATGATTGGAGATGGATGGACTCAGGGCTTCCCACCATGCATGTGGCTGAGCCTGAGAGATGTGAAAACAGTGACATCCCTTCCATGACCACAGCCCTGGAGGGGAAGGGGTCGGGAAGACTGTGGATTTCTTTGGGAGCATGAGCCTATGTGCAGCACTTTTGGTTCTGCAGATGTGATGCTTGTTGCCATGGTGACTGTCCTAACAATAACCTCCCAGAACTGATATTCCCTACAACCACCCCAGCTGCCACCTGGGAGGGAGAGCCCTCCATGCTTACGAAAGCAAGCTAGAAAGGACAAGGTGGGAGGCAGAACTGACATAGCAGAGGGGGTAGGGGAAAAGGGCCCTTCCTAAAGGCGGGAGAAGTGGGGAGGATGAGGGGGCAGACTGAGCCTCTAATCAGAGCCAAAGCCTGATGAGAGAAAGAGTCATAGCTGGAAGCCTTTCTCGATCCCAATCTTTCTGTTCTGCTTGGGAGGCACGCTCTGGGTCTGGGGACAGGTACAGGCTACTCTGTCTAGGCAGGAATAGCCCAGGTGCCTCTGAGGGCTCAGCCCTTCTCCACTATCGGGTACTAGATCGACCGACCTTCTTGTTCTATCAGGTGCCTGTGTCCTGCCTTGAATATTTCAGTCTAGAGAAGGGGCTGCTGGGCCCCAAGAACAGAGGGGCACTTGATACAGTGGACCTTCAATTGTACTTCCTAGTGACCTCAACTTTTTAACACTAGTCCTAGACAGCCTGTGTGTGTGTGTGTGTGTGTGTGCGCGCGCGTTCGCGCATGTACTGAAGCTTGAATTTACTGGGCTCTCTACCACTTGAACCACAGTTCTACTTCTGGCTTTTTGGTGGTTAATTGGAGATAAAGAGTCTTATGGAATATCTTTTTTTGCCTTTGATGGCTTTGAACCATGATCCTCAGATCTCAGCCTCCTGAGTAGCTAGGATTATAGGCATGAGCCACCAGCACCTAGCTTCTAGACAACCTCTTTACCTTTTGAAAGATAGCTTCACACACACACACACACACACACACACACACAGAGTTTACAGCATGCTTCTCTCTAGGTGTGTGGGGGGGGAGAGGGAGAGAGGGAGAGAGAACTAGGGCTTGTGCTTACTGGGCACCATCATTACTACTTCACCCAAGGTGAGTGCTCTACCACATGAGCAACAGCTCCACTTCTGGCTTTTTGGTTTGGTTGTTAATTAGAGATAAAAAGTCTCACAGATTTTTTTTGGCCTGGTTCATTTTTAAACCATAAGCCTCAGATCTCAGCCTCCTGAGTAGCTAGGACTATAGACATGAGCCACCAGTAAGCCTTTTGAAATATAGCCTTACAAAAACAAAACACCCAGAGATAAGCATGCTGGAAATGTGTGTGTGTGTGTGTGTGTGTGTGTGTGTGTGTGTCTGTGTGTCTGTCTGTGTGCCAGTTGGGGACAACAGTTTCCCTTCTTGCTGGTGTTTGCTGAGGTCAAGGCCAGGCTTCCTCTGTCTCGCGCATCTGGGACCCACTTTCTCTTATTCCATGAGTGTCCCTCTGGCTGACTGTCTCCTTAGGTCAGGGACTTGCCCAGAATCCTATTTATCATCCACCAGTTGAGTGCCAAGTTCATCCTAGTTGTGCAGGGCCCTGGTGGCCCACTGCAGAACTGTCACTTGTTCCTTTACCCAGGAAATACTGACTGTGGCTTCCAGGGTTAATCCTGGGTTGGCCTCAGACTGAGACAGTAGCTGGCTAGGCTTAGAATCTGCCTTCGGGGAGTAAACAGGTTTACATCAGGACAGCAGTGTGACCCCATCCTGAATCTGTCCTGCTGGGGGTAGGGAGGACATCTTCCTTCCTTAAGAGGAATGTGGGTGCTAGCCTTAGGGACTTTGTGGGAAACTTGGGGGCCCTGCATATGCTCTTCTTCTCCTTGGCCTTCAGACTGGATTCAAGAGGCATTTGTGAGCAAGAGAGAAAAAATGGACCCTCTTCTTCCAGGCTACAATAGAAAGTCAGAAGCTAGACCAGGTCTGAAGGAGGGGAGTGACTGTCGGGGATCTCTGGACAGAGTGGCTGTGAGCTCTCAGGATCTGAGTCCCTGACAGCAGCTGCTGCTTCCCTGGCTCAAGGCCCAGAGGCCTGGACACTCAATATCCCTGTCTGTGCCCCCAGCCACTAATCCCTGGAGAAGCATGGAGGTTGTGGGACCACCTGAGGGGGGCAGCCCTATCCTCTCACCCTCACCCCACTGTCCCAGTAAACACGCAGCCTGAGAGACTCAGAGTCAGCCTTAGGCCAGGGGACTGAGGTGTGTGGAGTAGTGGAATCCAGGAAGGAAGGTTCTGGCACATCTTCCTGTGGGAATGTGAGGAAAGGGCTGAGGGAGGATAAGGGCAGGACCGACCCTCCGGCCTCACGTCACCCCTGCGGTCAGGGGGGAACCCACACTATGTGTGAACCTCTAGATCTGCATATGGGTTAGGATGGGGCCTCCCGCAGAAAGGGCCAGCTCTGCAGCATGAGTAGGGGGCTCTCGGGTGCGGGGCCCAGGTGCAGTGTGTAGGCCTTGTGCGGTTAAGATCGGTGTGTGTAGGTGGAGGGCGCGGGCACATCCTAGAGCGGGTGCAGGGCGCGGGCACGGGTGTGAGTTCAGGGTGCGGGCGCAGTGCGGGTGCAGGCGTGGGGTGGGTGCGGGGTGCGGGCGCAGTGCGCGTGCGGGCGCGGGCGCGAGGGCAGGTACCGAGCGCGGGTGCGGTGCGGGCACGAGGCCCAGAGTGCGGGGCGCGGGCGCGGCGCGTGCGGCGGGCGCGGCGGCGGCGGCGGCGGCGGCAGCGGTGGCGGTGGCAGCGGCGCCCGCGCCTCCCCGCGCGTAGGTGTGCGGCGCGCTCCTGCGGGGACCGAGCGAGCAGATCTCGCGTGCGCTCGCCGCGCGGCGCAGCCTAGCTCGGCCCCCGCCCGGCGCCACCAGCCGAGGTGTCTCCCGCGCCCGCGCCCGTGTCGCCGCCGTGCCCGCGAGCGGGAGCCGGAGTCGCCGCCGCCCGAGCGCAGCCGAGCGCACGCCGAGCCCGTCCGCCGCCGCCATGGCCACCACGGTGACCTGCACCCGCTTCACCGACGAGTACCAGCTCTACGAGGATATTGGCAAGTAAGGGCCGCGGCGCGCACCGGCCGACGGGGGACCCCCGCCCTGCCCCGAGGGCTGGACCCCGGCCCCGCAGGCTCCCGGCGCACTGCGGGCCCGCGCGCTCTCCGCTCCCCGGGCTCCGGGCCCAGGCGCACGGTCCCGTGCGGCCCCGAACCCCGGAGCCCGAGGGCTCTGGGCCGGGCTGCCGGACCCCGGCGCGCGGGGCCAGTCCACCGCAGTGGCTCGCACTCAGCGCGGCGGGGGCGGCAGCAGGTGTCCCCCGGAGCGCCGGGCAGACGTGACGCATTTGGCGGCGGGGAGGTCGGAGAGGAGGGGCCCGCAGGGCAGCCGCAGCCCGGGGCTCGGGAGGGTCGGCCGTGGCCGGAGACCGGGGGTCGGCCGGGTGCCCGCGCGGTCCCCACCCCCACCCGAGGCGGCGGGGGCGGGGGGCGCAGCGGGGCTGCTCCGCGCCTGCTCCGCGCGCGGCCCTATCCGCGCAGGGGCTGCCGGCGTGGGAACAGCTTCTGCCGTGGGTCCCTTAAGGAAACTGGGTTCTGGAGGATTTCCCCCTCCCCCAGATTCTTCTGGAAACAAGAATTTGGAAGGGAGGGGATTGGACGAGGTCCAGGTCACCAAGGGGGAAGGATGAGGGGTTGAGGCGAGGAACTCGGGGGCCCCTGATTTCAGGGCCATCGAGGTCGATGAGTCCAGGTTTGGGAGCGTTGTTTCTGTGGCGAGGGGCTCAGGGAAAAGGGGGCTTCACAGGCTTCTCTCAGGTAGGGCGTCATGGGGAACAGGTGCCCGGGCTCTAAGACTCCGCTCCGCAGCCGGAGCGAAGCCCTGGATGGACTCGTCCAGACCTGGCTTTGTTCCTGGGGCCAGAGACTGGAAAGGGTCTTCCTTCCGTGCAGCGAGGTGGCTCTCTGGGCACCCCCGGGGGCTGGCTATGGAGCGCCCTCCCCTCCCCCATCTCAGAGCAGCGGGGCGCTGGCGAGATTTCCTCTTACACATCCCGCAGCAAATCCTTTTCTTCTTCTCTTTCTCCTCCATCTCCTTTTCTTCTTTTACTAAAAAAGTGTCTGGCAAAAGCTTGTGGCGGGCGAGGGACGCTGATTATTGATAATTGTGGAGTGCCCAGATGGAGGCGAGTGGAGGTGTGTGCATTCTCCATTTCTCCCCGCACGTCTGCAGAGGATTAGGGGTCAGGCTTGGGGGACCCAGGAGCAACATAGGATCCATGGCTGGAGGAAGTCGATGCTGGATGGCGAGGGTAGGGTGGGTGCATGGGGGTGGGGTGGGGGCCGAGCAGATCTGGAGAGCCACTTGGGCCTGGAGGGGCCCAGCACCCCTTCTCCCTGCGCTATGTAATGCTGTCTCTATGAGCCTCCTGGACACAGGAACTGAAGAAGTTTCCAGGAACTGCTGGGAGTCCTCAGGTGGGGGTGAGGCAGCCTCCTGCGTGGGTCAGATGAGGGCCTGTGGGAAGGGCTGGCACTGTAGTTCTCACCCTCTCCACCAGCCAGCCCTCTTGTCTCCTCACAGAGCCATGTCCTGCGCTGTAGAGACAATTGACAGCAGTGAGCACCAGCTTTCTGAATGGGAAGTCTCTCCTTGCTAGAGAAGTTTGCTTGCTTGCTTGCTTATTTATTTATTTTTTGTGCTGGTCCTGGGGCTTGAACTCAGAGTCTGGGCACTGTCCCTGAGCCTTTTCTGCTCAAGACTGGTGCTCTACCACTTTGAGCCACAGCTCCACTTCAGGCTTTTTGGTGGTTAACTGGAGTTGAGTCTCAGGTACTTTGCTGTCCAGTCTAGCTTTGAACTGTGATCCTCAGACCTCAGACTCCTGAGTTGCTAGGATTACAGGTATGAGCCACGGTGCCAAGTTCTAGAGAGTCTTCTCATCTCTTCTTCATGTGTGCACTGGAGCCCAAGCCTTTACCCTGAGCCTTCTGGTCTGCTCCATGAAGCCCCTCTCAAGGCTCCCTATGGACCCCCATTTCCTAACATCCTGCTCACCCCAGCTCTTCCTTTCTTCACTTTGGTGTGAGCAGCAGTATAAGGTAGCCACTGGTTCTAGCAGGGACTGGCTATGGAACCACTGCCATCCTAATGGGGAGTGGAGGTGGAGGGGTGACACTGGAGGTGGAGACCAGTGAGGATTGGGACTGCCAGCTCCTCCCTAGGTAGGCAAGAGAATGAGGAGGGAGAAGTGTGTGGGCATCACCATGGGGGGCTGTGGTGACCTGGGCAGGAGAGTGATCCCAGCAAGAGGTGGTTGGCTTACCCAGCAGACCTTTGTGGTGGCTACTAGGTGCCAGGCCTCAGGGTATAGAGGAGGAGCGGGCTGAAGGGGACTCATCCCAGAACCAAGCTGTGGAACTCAACTGGCTGCAGTGGCTGTGTTGGCTGGTTGTTGACACTGCCTGCCCAGGGCACAGTTGGTGTTGCTTCCTGGCCCCAGGTGGACACATCCAAGTTTATTTAAAGCTGTAGCTCCTGGCACCCAGTTAGGCGATGCTGAGCTCCCTGTTAGGCAGAACGGCTGGGTCATAGGCCCACAGCTGCTTCTGTGTGATGGGGTACCCAGGCCTTTTCTCTCCCCTGCCCTGCTTCTTTCTTGGATGACTCTGGATCTTTCCCCAAAGGCCTGGATGCCACATCAGATTGGCACGGGGAGCCATTCTTTGGAACCTGACCTGCTCAGTGCTCTATGTGTGCCCTATGTTGTCCAGACTTACCAAAGCTCAGGGCAGTTCCCTGGCAGCTTATATGCTGGGGCTCTAGGAGCAGGCACAGAGCAAGGCAGGGGCATCTTCAACCCACTTGGGCCAGCCAGCAGTATGTTTATAATTTTTTCTATTGGATAGATTGTGTGTATAACTTTTTTTTTATTGGATAGATTGTTTGTGTGTATACTTTTTTTCTATTGGATAGATGTGTATCCATGTGTCTGTGTCTGAGTGTCTGTGTGTGTACATCCTGGGGCTTGAACTCAGGGCTTCTTGGGCATTGTCCCTAAGCTTTTGTCCTCAAGGCTGGTGCTCTACCACTTGAGCCACACCTGCACTTCTGGCTTTTTTGGTGGTTAACTGGAGATCAGAGTCTCATAGACTTCCCTGCCTGGACTGGCTTCCAACCACGATCCTCAGATTGCAGCCTCTTGAGTAGTTCAGATTACAGGCCTGGGCCACTGGTGCAAGGCTAGAGAGATTTTTTTAAATGCAGAAATTCCAGGAATAATAAAGCAAACAACAATATCTCAAGTAAAAGTATTATAAGTAAATATTAATATAATCCCTCACCAATGTGGTTCACCTATTGTGGCTTCACTGCATTGTGGGTAAATAGTATTCCTCCATCTATCACAGTAGTTCTGTTCCATAGATCTCCTGTGATAGATGAAAATCTGTGGAGTAGCAATAAATGAACGTCCATATAGGATGACCATGCAACAGAGTTCGCAGATTTCCACCTATCCCAGTGAGGGCTCACGGTAACCCCTTTTCCTATGACTTCCAGTCCATCTTTGCAGTCTTCCTCCAAGGCTCTGTTTTTGATAGTTAACACACAGATATAAGCATGCATTCTAATACAGATTCTTAAGTGTGTTCTCTTTTTAACTTTGCTGGAAAATCCCAAACTTGTTCTCTTGGTCAGAAGTCTTCCTGACATGTGTGCATGCTATCCTGGTAACCGTGAACACAACCATCTCATCTGCTCAGCTCCTGGTAGAAATCTAGGCTAATTCTAGTTTCCCATCTTGCCTACCTCATCACCAATACCATAACATGTGTTTTCTGGTACAGGGTTGAGACTTTATTTGGAGGTGTATCCCTGACAGTAAAGTTGCCAGTAGGGATCTTCCCTGTTATATCACTCCCTCCAGCCATGGAGGGAGGCCACTATGTCACACTCCATCCCTGGCTATGACAGATTATAAATGCTAATGAACAGGAGGCAGTGACATGTTCTGGATGAAACCCATGAGTTTTCTACTTTGGGGGGTAGTTGATTGCTGATAATAGGGATGGTCTCCCTAGAGAAAAGCAGTTCCCACAGATCTTGGATAGAATTTCAGGGGTCCTGGGAGAGAGGACGCTGGCCATGGTTCCTGCTGGAGCAGCATCTAACATGTGGTGTACTTGAAAGGTTTGATTTTATTTGATTCTAGCTCTGCCCAAAAGGCCCTCCACCCACCCCTATTTTACAAATTAAAGAAAAAGCTGGAGGAAAGTAGGCAAATTGCCAAGTGTGGATAAGGAAGTTCCCTTATCTCCAGCCCCCACCCCCACCCAGTACTCCTAGAACCTCAAATAGGCCCAGAATTGACCTTGACGTGTCCTTGACTCTATCCAGTGACACTCTCCACCCCTCAGTCAGAAGAGAGCAGGTTGCATCATGGGGCTGGTGACCTATCCACTTTCTGAGTGGGGGTGTTGTTCTGAGTTGGGGTGCTTTGGCTAGCAAGCCTGCTGGGAACTGGTAGATGGCCTGCTAGGGAGTTCTAGTATAAACTTCAGAATTTCAGAGTAGATCGGGTTTTGAGTCTTCTTTGCTCTAAAGCTGGTTGCCAGGGAAGGGTGGAATCTGGTGGTGGAGGAGGAATCTTGGATTTGCTATTGTGTTTACTTTCTGCTGTCAGCCCTCCCCCAGAGCACTGGGCCCTTCCTGCCTCAGGGCCTTTGCCAGAGCCCCTCTCACCAGATGCTCTCCCATCTCCTCTTCCTGTTCCCAGTCCTCCCCTCTGGTTGTATCAGAGAGGCTAGGTGTGGGCCATTCACCTCCACAGAGGCTGGAGCTGGGTTCCCAGGGCCTGGCCTGGGGGAGGGAAGGGTTGTGCCTTCACCCGTGGACTTCAAGCCTTTGCTGGCTGTTCTGGACCTGAAAAGTCTGGAATGAGGGGTGATTGTGATTCCCTAATGTAGGGGGCTTAGAAAGAAGGCACACATACTGAAGCTGTTGGCAAGAAGCGCATTAAGGTGATGCTAGTTTAGTTACTATTTAATGGTATTTTTATATCA